GCGCGGGAGAGTCGGGGGGCGACGGCGTTTATCGGCTTCTCCGCGACCCCGGGGAGTGGGCCCGTGTGTGCGCAGGCATGGCAGAAACGGAGGAAACCGTTTATATGCACGGTTTTGCATCCCAGTGTTTGGTTGGCTCGTCTTGAGCATATTCTAGTTATTTTTATTTTCTACTGTACATTTGTGCAGCACGGAGGTCTTCAAGAATGCAATAAGGATGGTCCGTATTTTTAAGTAGCCTACTCAATAGCAAAATAAGAGACGGTTGACTAAAGCAAGCCCCATAAGGGGAACAGGGGAATGCTGACACATGGGGTCTGTGGCTACTTCTCCAAAATAACGGTGGAAGTTTGGAGTGCTAACACTGTTTGGAAACAGTAGGAAGAAGTAACCCAAAGGGATGAATCACGAATATGCTGGGTGGGATTTGATTCACTGTTTTCTCAGCGCTATGGTAAACTATGAAACATATTGCAACTCCTCTTTCTCTGCTGGTGCATGAATCATGGCTAAAAAATGTGATTATTAATTACTATTGTATAGTTTTGAACCAGGGGGGATATGTCACAACCATCCTCCATTAGCGTACTTGAGAAATATGTGGGCAGATCTACTTCCACAAGCAAAACAACATTTGTTTTGAACAGATTACTTACAGTCTGTGTAACAAGGAATTTGTTCAAAGATACAGTATTATTCACAGGTAAAAATTTCTGTTACGGTCAACACATTTACACAATAAGAAGAAGGATGAGGCAAAACTGATCTCTTTGCCCACCTTTCTGTGGAAACATGAAAATGTTGTGCTGGATGGAAGGAGTGATCCATCTGCTGTTTTCTCTGACAGTGTCTGAGAGGTATCAAAAGTTTCAGAAATTTTGTTGGGGAGTTAAAAATAGAGAGGCTCTCCACATCCTTCTGTTCAATGCTGCTCCTCCTCCTGCTGCTGAGGGCATCACCACTCCATCTGGCACTGAAGTCGCCGTCACTGCTCATGACGGGGTGTCATGTCAGTAGACACAGACACCAAGTTATTCTCTCAGCCTTGGATTTTATCTTTGTCTGCACTGTAGGGGTGGAAGGAGTGGGCTGTACTGCACATACAGAAGGCTTGCAAGGTCTTACACTCCAAATAAGTCCTGTTTTGAGGTACAATAGGGATTTACAAATTAACGCACTGCACTTTGTGAAAACTAAACTCAAAGACAAGTTTCCCATTAAGAGAGATCCAAAGCTACTCTAAAATCATGTAGGCTCTTAAGGTAGTAGGGCAAGGAAACCTATTTTTTTGTCACGATGTCATTACAAAATAGTGCATGTTAATGGGGCTGTTATTACAGAGAATGATTTTGAGAAATACAAGAAAGGTAGAAAATTGAGATCTACGTTGGATAACCATCTTCTTAAGACTTGCCATTTAATATTTATCTGTGTACTGGAAACAATAAAATTGTTAATAAATCAATAATTTTACATCAAACATTGTGTCAGATGCAGATGCCGACACCTATAATGAGAATGCCAAGTTCTGCTTTCAGTGTTTTCAACCTTTTTATGTTAAGTTTAGAAAATGTTCCACTCTTAGTAAGTTCACTATTTCGGCAATGTGAACAGCTCTTGTTGCAACCTGTTTAAAGAATAAAACCAATCCTAATAAGACTGGTTTCTTAAACAATCATTTGTGAAACAAAAATACATTCATCAGTAGTTGGCAGATAGGCCATCTTAATACAACTCAGAATATTGGAGGTTGTTGACAAGCATATGTAAATATGCAGGTTTATAGGATGTCAAGTGGTGCCAAAACTCCATTTAATAATTACTGACTGGAATTTAGTATTTCTTCTATATTCCAACACTTGGTTATATTAAAAGAAAGATTGAGGCACTTAGTCAGCTTGAGCTATGCTTTATGCCACTGGTAGCCTCCACTGACTTCAGTGGAGTTATATACAAGGTAAGAGACTGTTCATTAGGAATAAGGCAGAAAGAATTTACCACCCAACTCGTAAGGAAAGAGCAAGGAATTAACCTCCATGAATATCTGCACAAAGGCCATGAAAGATGTTGGGACCTTTGACTTTTCCTGAAGTGTGGCAACGTCCATACAAGATCTGCTGTAGCCATTCCATCAGTCAACAGGCTGGCCATCCAACTCGAAATTCAGTACCTGACCCGCATTTGTGTCCTGCAGCATGGGGCTCTGCTGTGACTCCACAGATTTACATACACTCAGATCCTAGGACACAAGCACATACCAACAGGCTCTTCTGAACTGGGATAAAACTAAAAAGTGCTGCAGTGCTTTCCTGAACTAGAGCCTCTGCCACCAGCAGTACAAGAGGAAATGGCTTCAAGTTGCACCAGGGTAGGTTTAGATTGGATATTAGGAAAAAGTTCTTTACTGAAAGAGTGGTCAAACACTGGAACAGGCTGCTCAGGGAGGTGGTTGAGTCACCATCCATGGAAGTGTCCAAGAAGCACATGGATGTGGCACTTCAGGACATGGCTTAGTGGCCATGGTGGTGTTAGGTTGATGGTTGGACTTGATGATCTTAGAGGTCTCTTCCAACCTTAATGTTTCTGTGATTCTGTGATTAAATTGGATTTTTAATACTGTATATAATTAATTCTGAGAACAGGTTAGTCTCCTAAATCTGAGAAGCACTGTAGTGAAAAATAATAGACCTCATTTGGGGAATTTTTCATTAAAATTACTATGGTCTTTTATTTCAGTATTGACTTTTCTCTCCTGATCACTCCCTAACAACACTTGCGATGCTATGATTAGAAATTGGTTCAAAACTGAGGAATTGTCAGAAAGTTTGAAGTTTCTTTTAAATTTTTCATGAAAATAACATTTTCCTCAAAAATTTCTGAACAAATACAGTTGTATCTTAGATTTTTATATGTTTATATGCTGAAATGTGTTGCCTGAAAAAAACAACCCACCAAAGCAAAATGAGGTGGCAATGATTCATCTTCTTCAAAGATTTTATATTAAACACTTCAGAAAAATACATTTTTCCAGCTTCCAGCAGTTTACATTCAGATTGGGATATAAAAGGCAAGATAGAGACTTTCAAATTTTGTCTCCCTAACACAATGTGTTGTTTTGCTTTGATTATTCCTGTTGCACAAATAGAACAAACAAATCTAGCTAGACTTTATTTTTGCTTGTGTGCTAATTAATAAGACATTTACAATACTCTGAGCAGATGCACAAATTTTGTAATGTATATATATTCCCATGTCCTAGTTTTAAGCCAATAGACTTGGTCTGTGTATGATTTCAAAAGCTTAAATTTGATTTAATTTGTGTTAAGAGCATGTAGCAATGCCATCTTCTATTTTTTTTTCCCTTTTGAATAATACAGTGTTAATTTGACAGAATCTTTTTAAAGCTATACTGGATTTCCCATGAAAAACACTTTTTCTTTCTGTGGTAACATGTTAGTCATATTTAAATTGCTGTACAAACAGTAAAAAGAATATTGGTTTATCTTTTGCAATGAGTTTCTTTGATTTCCAGAAAGGTAGACTTGGGAGTTGCATACATTCAGAATGGCAACCTTTCCTTCAAACAGAAGGCAGTTTGAGATGGTACATTGTGTGTTGGATAGGAAGCTGAACTTTCAACATGCTCTGCTGCCCTCTAGGTGATGAATATTTGGCTAAGTAATATTCTGTTATTTTGCAGAGCTCAAAAAGGATTATCTGTGGACTGACTATGAAATATTCTACATGTATTTGAGAGCAGGAAGCCACTGTTACAAAAGTGCTGAAATGAATTTTACAAGTTATAAACGATCTTCATAGTCTACCGATTTTTTTTTCCTTTGCTTTGCAATCTTGTATCAAGTATTTTTTCAGGTGTGTTTTGTCTTTCCATTGTTTGGAAGTTTAGTGGACAAATAAAAATGGTAACTGTAATGCCACACATTATGTTGCTGCATTTATTATTTGTTTCTGATAGGGTTTTGAAAAATAAAATGGAAATTATTACTGCCTTTCTTATTAAGTACAGTGTTTTACACGATTTTGTACCCCAGTGCTCCTTGAGCTTCAGCGTGGCGAGAAGCAACAAATGGGAGGGAGAGTGCTGAGGGGCAGCTTAAGGGGGCAAACGGTCGCGCACTTGAGCCGTTAACGCCCCCCCCCCACTTTAAACTTCCCGCCCGCCGCTCGCGGCGCTGGCGGTTGTTGCTGCCTGTTCGCTACCGCAGTTTCCATGCACGGCGGACTGTAAAAGTGCCCGGCTGCTTCGGACTTGCTGTGTCCCCTTTTATGGGCC